GCATGCCTGTAATCTCACCAATTTGGGAGATTGAGGCAGGAGGATTGCAAATTCAAGGCCAGGCTTGGCATTTAGGAAGATCCTCAGACACTCAGAGAGATCCTGTCTTAATATAAAAATTAAAAAGAACTGGGGATGTAGCTCAGTGATAAAGTGTCCCTGGGTTTAATTCCCTGTACCAGGAAAAAAAAAAAAAAGTTACTGAATTCGGGTGTGGTGGCGCATGCCCAGGGGGCTCAGGAGGCTGAAGCAGGAGGATCATGTGTTCAAAGCCAGCCTCAGCAAAAGTGGAGGTGCTAAGCAACTCAGTGAGACCCTGTCTCTAAAATACAAAATAGGGCTGTGGATGTGGCTCAGTGGCCAAGTACCCCGGAGTTCAATCCCTGGTACCCCCCCACCAAAAAATTACTGCAGCAAACAAACCTGAAAACACAACATGCTAAAACCAATGAAATACAGGAAAGCAGTACTAAGAGGGAAGTTTAGAGAAATAAGTCCCTAAATCAAGAAAGTAGAAAGATTTCAAATAAACAACTATGCAACTCAAGGAACCAGAAAAGCAAAAACAAACTAAACTCAAAAAACTGGTAAAAAGAAATAAGAAGGTTGAGAGTAGAAATAAATGAAAGAGGGGGCTAAAAAAAAAATACAAAAGATCAATGAAACAACGAGATTGCTTCTTTGAAAAGAAAACAAAATGAACAAATATTTACCTAGACTAACCATGACAAAAAGAGGGAAGACACAAACAAATGAAATCAGAGATGAAAAAGGAGATATTACAACTAATACCACAGAAAGAAAAGATTATTAGGAATTATTACAAACAACCATATGTCCCCAAATTGGAAAACCTAAAAAAAAGCACAAATTTCTCAACACATATAACTTACTAAAACTGAACCATGATGACTTAGAAACCTGAACAAATAGCAAGAAAGAAGACTGAATCAGTAATAAAAATTCTCTCAGAAAGAAAACCCAGGGGGTGAGATTCTGGCTCAGTGGTGGAGCGCTTGCCTAGCATGTGTGAGGCACTGGATTCGATTCTCAGCACCACATATAAATAAATAAATAAATAAAATAAAGGTCCCTCAACAACTAAAAATATATTTTTAAAAAATTTAAAAAAAAGAAAGCCCAGGATCAGATGGCTTTATTGATGAATTTTACCAAACTTTTAAAGAAAAACTAAAATGAATTCTTTTCAAACTATTACAAAGTACTAAAAGAGAAATAACTTCGTTATTCTATGTCAGCATCACTGATACCAAAACCAAATAAGGCACAACAAAAAATAAAGCTAGAGACCAAAAATCCCTGATGCACACAGACACTAAAATTCTCAACAAGATAGTAGTAGATATAATCCAACTAACTGTACCTAAAACTATTATACACTATGATCAATTGGGATGTATCTCAGGGGTGCAAGGACAGCTCAACATACTCAAAATACTACACATAATGACATCACATTAACAGAATGAAGGATAAAAACCATGTGACACACATGACCACATGAAGGATAAAGACCATCTGAACAGATGCAGAAAAAGCACTCTCCATAATAAACCCTAAAAAATTACTTATAGAAGAAATGTACCACCACGATCCACAACATAGTGTTTCTACTGGAGGAGCCAATAACAATGCCTCTATCAGATGTGTAAAGTATAAGATACTGTGCTATGTTACAGATTTATCTTGGCCTCAAGGAAAAGACACTAGGGCTATAGATACGGGTGTTTGACTGGGCTCCTTAGATTCATAGAACTAATTTTTTTTCTTGTTGTGCTACTCATATATTACAGGAAAGGGGGCTGGAGATGTGGCTCAAGCAGTAGCGCGCTTGCCTGGCATGCATGTGGCCCGGGTTCGATCCTCAGCACCACATACAAAGATGTTGTGTCCGCCAAAAACTAAAAAATAAATATTGAAAATTCTCTCTCTCTCTCTCTAAAATATATATATATTTTACAGGAAAGGCCTACTGATGGTCTACAACTTGCTATTCTTTTTGGAAGCTGATCCCTGGTCTTTCATATTCTGAATCACTACTCCTCCATACACTAAAGAGCATGTACTATTCATCAGATAGGACAGAGGAGTGCCTTTAGCTCAGAAACAGAGGGAACTTTAGGGCAAGAATCAAAATCCATTAATTTAAGCCAGGGTTGGTGGTGCTCGCCTGTAATCCCAGTGACTCAGGAGGATGAGGCAGGAGGATCATAGAGTTCAAAGCTAGCTACAGCAACATATCAAGGCCCTAAGCAACTTAGACCCTCTCTTGAAATAAAAAATAAAATGGCTGGAGATGTGGCTCAGTGGTTGAGTGCTTCTGAGTTCAATCCCTGGTACCTCCCCTGCCCCCCCCAAAATCCATCAATTTAAATGAGGAAAATGTCCTTCCAGAGAAGTTTTTAATAAATATTTTTAGTTGAGGATGGACACAATACCTTTATTTTATTTATTTTTATGCAGTGCTGAGGATCAAACTCAGTGCCTCACACGTGAAAGGCAAGCACTCTGCTACTGAGCTATGACCCAGCCCCACAGAAGAGATTTTTAGAACAAAGCAATATGTCAAAGACCTTGCCCACAATCTTTCTGGAAGCAAAAAAAGGCTTGAGGATCTGAAATGAGCTGTGTGGTAGAGTAGGAAATGGTGTAAGTAGCATTGGGCAGCAGATGCCTGTGATCCATAGATCCACAAAACTGCTTTATAACCTTTAGTTTCAGTGGCTCCAAAGAATAACAGGGAATGTGGGAGAAATCTGTTCCATGGAGGAGTGGGACTGTAGGGAAAAAGTTACCACTTTCTTCTTTTCTTGGAGCCCTATCCTAGGACATAGCTGGACCTTTGAAAGCTTCCTCTCCTTGGTATATTTCTCTATGAAGACAGCAAAAGCTCAGGTAAGTATTAAAATTTTGAAGGATGATGCAAAGTAAGAACATACGGGGGCGGGGCAAGAATTGTAGAAGGCAAATGTTGTCATGTAACACTCACGGGTGGGGAACAGCTTTCCTAGCTGGCAGCAAGCTGGGAGCTTCGACCAAATAACTGTGTTACTGACAAAGGTTGAGCCCAGGAAAGGAAAAAGGTAGAGAGGTCCAGGATCATTGGCTATTTCACTTGGGCCATGAAAATGACATTAACAGTAACTTTGCCTCCCTCCTGACACATTCTATGAAATCACAGGTAGGGTTTGGAATGATTTCTTTTATCTAGGAATTCTTCTATGGGATATTTGAGAATGGCCCCTCCCTAGGTTAAGTTGCAGCATGTTATCTTGCTGTTAATAGTGATTCTTTTTCAAGGGACATAAGTGGAATCTCTTTATTATCAAATACCTATCCCCAGGAATCAGAAGATGTCACAAGACTAGAAGAAAAAGTAGAAAACGTGGCCTAGGCCCTGTTGAGATGAGAAAAATGGAAGATCATTAACTTTAAGCAAAAGAAAAAACTGTCAATAACTTCCCTGTTATATATTCACATCAAAATGGGAACCTGAGCTTGGAAATGCCTTTTATACAAAATGACTGCAACTATGACGGGTATTTAGAGTTACAGAGATTTTCTTCTAATTAACAGCACTTTCTCATGGATAAAGGGTAGATAGATAAAAAAAAATTTGAGGTATGTGGTTTACATATGATTTATGGCCTACCTATAAAATAGGGTGAATCCTATGCAGTCAGTGGAGATGAATAAGAGGGGCTTCTAACCACTTCACAATTTCAGAGCAGAATAGAATCCAGTCCCCATGTCATCTATGTATGCTCACTTCTCAAGTATACAGAACTGTGTACCGTGATTGACAATAAGAAGTTCTTAATATGAAATAATGTGAATAAGCAATATGTGGCAACAGATGTATACACCTTGGTCAAGTTTTAGATGAAGGAGCCAAGTGTACAAAATGCATTTCTGTGTTAAAGATATGGACAGAGAGAAACCTAGTGCCAAATGTGCCTGAATATGCCAAAAACATTTCAATATATCTTTTGGGAAATGTAAAACATGTTGTTGTTCATATGACTATTGACCAAAAACTTAGAAGTAGCTGGGCCATGCATTTCTCAATGGTATCTATACTACTAAGAATGCAACAAGCATTGAACCTTCCTCTCATGAAGAAATAATCCATTTTTCAGCTCTCCTGGTCATGAGCTTAGCCATAGCTTGGAAATAAAGCATAATGGTGTGGCTTACAAGTTCCAGGACCAGAACCTCTGTACTAAACAATGAATTTATTACTGTAAATATAGATTTTGATCAGATGTTGTATGAGCACAATGATGACTTTAATAAACCTGACCTCCAAAGCTCCTTTGGAAAGCTATATTGTGAGAAAAGGACTTCCCTGTGGATGAGTGACCTCCCAGAATACTATAATGGCACCTCCATGTGATGCCAGACAGACACTCACAAGCAAGACAGTACCCATTGCAAAAAATAAGGTTATTGTTAGCAGGGCCAGTGCAGAAACCTGGAGAATCAGTGATATAAAATCTTTAGAAAGAGTATAAGAGTTGCCTGGAAAAGTAATCATTACCTAGGGAATACGTTTAGAAACCATGGCAGTGACTCCAAAATAATGGTTAAGGTCTGTGCAAAAGGATATAAGGCTCTGCACATTGAAAAACATCAAGCACGCATGTAGCCCATGCAAGAAATGAAGTGTTGGCGAATAGATGTTTTTGAAGCCACAGAAAGGGCTGAGGAGAGGGAAAGTGAAGGGTAGCATTCTATGAGAGCCACAGAAGATTTGTATAATCAAACCTATTTAGACACCACTCTATTCCACTATGACCACAAACTGAACAAGTGTCATAGGAGGGATGTTCATGATAATTTTAAGAACTGCCTCTATGTATGGCTATTGTCCCTTGTAGGGTTAGTGGGACAGTTTGAACAGTGACTCAGCTGCACATGTCCCCTCTGACTCTCAGTATGACCAAAAAAAAAAAAAAAAAAACCAAAAAAAAAACCTGTTAATTCTTTTATAATTGATTTATTTTTTAATTGGTGCATTACAGTTATGCATAAAAGTGGAATTCGTTATTATATGTTCATACATACATGATACATGGCAGTTTGGTTAATTTCATTCTGCTGTTCTTCCCCTTTCCCATTCCTCCTTCCCCTCATAGCCCTTCCTCTACTGTACTGTTCTCCCTTCTATTTTTATGAGACTGTTTCCCAACACCCCTACCAATTTTTAATACCTTATTTTTCTCTAACTTCCATATATAAGAGAAACACTCAACCCTTGACTTTCGGAAACTGGCTTGTTTCACTCAGCATGATGTTCTTCAATTCTACCCATTTGCCAGCAAATGACATAATTTCATTCTTCTTTATGGCTAAATAAAACTCCATTGTGTATATATATCACATTTTCATTATCCAATCATCTATTAAGGGACACCTGAGCTGGTTCCATAAATTGGCTATTATGAACTGTGCTGCTATAAATATTCATATGCATGTATCGCTATAGTATGCTACTTTTAGGTCTTTTGGATAAATACCAAGGAGTGGGATAGCTGGGTTATATTATGGGTCCTTTCCTAGTATTTTCAGGAATCTCCATATTTCTTTCCAAAACGGTTGTACTAATTTGCAGTCCCATCAACAATGCATAAGTATACCTTTTCCTTCACATCCTCACCAGCATTTATTATTCTTTGTATTTTTGATGACTGCTATTCTAATTGGAATGAGATAAAATCTCAGGGTAGTTTTGATTTGTATTTCCCAGATTGCTAAGGATGTTGAACATTTTTACATGTATTTTGTTGGCCATTTGCCAAAAAATTTGAGAAATGTCTGTTTAGCTCATTTGTCCATTAATTGATTGGGTCATTTGTTTTTTTGGTATTAAGTTTCTTGAGTACTATATATATTCTGGATATTAATCTCCAGTCAGAAGAGTAGCTAGAAAAGATTCTCCTATTTAGTAGGCTCTCTCTTCATGCTCCTATTTCCTTTGCTGTGCAGAAGCTTTATTTGAAGCCATCCCACTTATTTTTGATTTTATTTCTTTAGTTTTAGGGGGTCTTGTTAAGGAAGCTGGTGTAGGATATGGTTACCTGACATTCTTCACAATCCATTAATGTAAAATAATTCCAGTTCCTGAGTATCCTAGTAATTGTAATTTCAAAGAATGGTGGAGGAGCTAGTAGCAAAAGTAACAGTAGACCCTAATGGATCCTGGCCCCTGTTATAGACTCTCTTCTGTGAGCATAATAATGGCGTCTGGGTATCCACATCACATTGAGCCTCTTGCTTTAGTTGGTGGAACTTGTGCTGTGTCCATCCATATACTCCAAAGTGGAGCAGACCCTGGGATGCTGCTGTTAGAGCCTAAAGGAGAGACAGGGGTGATGGAATCTGCTCTTCAGGTTTGTAGAGATCCAGGAAAAAGCCCACAACCCTTGTTTACAAAGCATGGTTACATTTCCTCTATCTCAAACATCAAGATCTGGTATCTATTTTTTCTATTTTTCTAGCTCTTTCTGAACTAATTCTTTACATCTTAACATAATTGACTAAAAGTTGGTCATATTTCTTAGTATATACATAAGGACAATGAAGTGGCTTCAATGCCCCTCCTTACTGATCCATTTTTTAGAGAAAACTGCCTTATCAGCATAATTAGATAGTTCAAAAAAAGTCTTTCTTCAATCTGATAAATGAGGAGAACCATTCTATTACCTCCCTACCCACCACATTCACTCAGAAAGGTTAATTAATCTCATTCAATTCAATTTGGATTAGAGAGAATCATGACTATCAGCATTAAGAATGTGCCCTAGTAGACCACTATTTTTTTTGTCTACTCACTTCTTAAAAACACATCAAGTAAAATGAAATTGACCAGAGATACATATGCTGTGGAGTGCATACCAGCACTTTTATCAAAGCATCTACGCTCCTCTGTGGAAATTTTCACATTCTTCATAAATGAGTATAAATAATACATGTTCTCTTTTCCTTCACAGAGGGAAACAGTGCTTACTGAGTAATGTCAGTGTAAGAGAGTAGAATAAGAGGGTGTAGGAATAGAAATTCTGGATTTTGAAGGTGTTACCTGGAGAACATACAGGGCCATGTGTAGCTCGGTGTCCTGGGGCTTAGTCAGCTTTGTGATTATCAGCACGACAGCTATGAATACAGAACACATAAATTCTGTCATTAGACCTCACTGCCTGAAGCACAGAGTTCCTCAATATACATGTCTGAGCATTATTAGAATGGAAGATATGGGCTTATTGAAGATCAATACTTTTAACCAGTTATGCAAACCAAAGGCCTCTGACTTCTAGTCTTTATTAATTAAACTTTGCAGATGATTTGTGTGACAATAGTGGAGAGGTACTACAGGAAGAAAATAATTTTATTCTGTACTGGAGATTGAATTCAGGAGCATTTTACCACTGAGCTATGCCCTAGCCATTATTTCATTTCATTTCATTTCACTAGTACCAGAGGTACCCAGTCCTTTTTTATTATTTGTTTTGAGACAGGATTTCACTACTGAGGGTCTTGCTAAGTTATTGAGGCTGGCCTGGAACTCATGATCCTCCTGCCTCATTCTCCCAAACCCCTGGGATTAGAGGTATATGCCACCATGCCCAGTCTTTTTATCTTTTATTTTGAGACAGGGTCTTGCCTAATTGCCAAAATGACCTTGAACTTGGATCCTCCTGCCTCAGCCTCTCAAAGAGCTGGAATTACAAGTGTCTGCCATCGTGCCCAGAAAAAGATAATAAATTATACTACTTAGAGTATCAGAATTTACCAAGGCCTTTCATAAACATTATCCAATGTGATCCTCACTATCAACTTAAAGCAAATGTTAATAGATGAATCCTGTCATATCAGGTAATTTGCCCTCTCATATCGGCTTGCACCTCATGCCTAATTACCTTAATTTTTAATATATAAAAAGGAAAAAAGTTGGGGGGGGTCAGGGAAAACTGGAAATATGGGTAAAGCCAACATAAATCTTATAAGCTGGACAGGAATCTACAGTCAGTCATCTGCCTTGGTGAGATCACTCTGCTTGATCCCAATATATTGTTGAATCCAATATTGTTACCCTCTTCACTCTCCATCTCTTCCTGTTAAGATACCCACCTGGGCCCCAGCAGCATAAGAAGGCCGCTGGGTAGAAGCGCACTCGCTGTTCCACAATGTGAATCACTATTCGCTGTTTGTTCCCCAGAAAGCCAGGTGATTTCACAAACTTCTTACACAAGTTTTGGGCTTGGATGAATAAGACCTAAACATGAGTGTAGCAGTGAGCAGTTTGCCCTAAAGCTTAGTAAAAGTTCCTATCATTTTAGAAGGATCCTTTCTCTAAGTATCTTGCAACAGGTTTTACCTGCTGAGACCAGGCTTTTTCTGAGAGAAAATTACCTGGAAAATTATTCAGTCTTCCCACCAAGATAAATCATAATATACTCAAGAATTTTAAAGCAAGCCCTAAGCCAGATGCTGTGGCAAATGTCTATAATCTCAGTAGCTTGGGAGGCTGAGACAGGAGGACCACAAGTTTAAAGCCAGAAAAGTGAGGTGCTAGGCAACTCAGTGAGACTGTCTCTAAATAAAATACAAAATAGGGCTGGGGTTGTGGCTCAGTGGTTGAATGCCCCTGAGTTCAATTCTAGTACCAAAAACGAGAATAAACAAACAAAAAAACCTTCCCAAACTTGAATCTTTGCCTTAACAACCCAAATCAATTCTCTAATAACTCAATTTCTTAATCAAATGCAGCCAGAGTCTTCTTTCCCTACAAACAGAAGAATCAAAAGGAGGCCTGAACTTAAATGAGAATATTTATGTCTAATTATCTGTTCATTTAAAAATAATCTAGAATGCTAATTCTGAATGTCCACTGAAGCCTGAGCTACTCTAACCAGCAAAAAAGAATTTTCAGACTTCCAAGCCTTTGGGGCGGGGAACCCATCTTTATTGTCAATCCATTCCAAATGTAAGCCATCTAATCCATTTTAATATAAACTAATTGACCTTTACAAATTTACTGATCTGGGCTGAGCTATCTCCATAACTAATTTTTTTTTTTAAGAGAGAGAGAATTTTTTAATATTTTTTTATTTTTTTAGTTTTCGGCGGACACAACATCTTTGTTCGTATGTGGTGCTGAGGATCGAACCCAGGCCGCACGCATGCCAGGTGAGCGCGCTACCGCTTGAGCCACATCCCCAGCCCCCTCCATAACTAATTTTTAAAGGTCAAAGGAAATTCCCCATAATTATATTTGCCTCACAGGTGATAGTAAAACAAAACACTGTAGGAAAACTTAGTTTGTAGGTAGTTTGTAATTCCTCAACTAGAATATGAGGAGAAAATGATACTGAAAACTATGCAGATCTGACAAGTAAAAAGGCACATTACCTTACTGCTTCTGTACTAAGCAGTTATGCATACATAACTTACTATCACTTGGCTGATCATTTTAATTCTACATCATTCTGGTGATATCAAATAAGTACATGATAACTGCATAAACCACTTAGCATTTAAACCCCAGTTAGACATATAAGTGTGAACTTATGGTGGCTAAAAAAAAAATAAGAACACTCTTTCATTATTTGGAAAATTATATCAAAGCAATGTTCTATGTCCTAGAATGTCATTCTGGTATAAAGGATATACTTGAATCATGAGTTTTCTGGTAGCTCCTCCATGGGGATCAACAAAACATATATTAGTTCTAGAGTAAACATAATTTTCATGAAGTAAATTCTTTTACTTTTTGTTTTGAGACCGGGTCTCACTAAATTGTTGAGGCTGGCCTAGAACTCATAATCCTCTTGCCTCTGCTCCCAAACAAGCTCTTTTTCCACACTCATCATCTGATTTTAGGACACCCAAAAAACTGAGGTGGTGTAATTACATTGTTAAGATCTCTTGAACATTTTGTTGGTACTAGGACCATAGGAAGTAACTCTCTGGCCTATCTTCCCCAGGCCCTAGGAATACTGGCCTGTCCCCTCTAGTCCCCCCTTTTCACAAGGGAGAGTAGTACCATACCATAATAGTTAGGAAGCTGAGCAAAAAGCTAGCCAAGAAAATGGTGATACTATAAAAATAAAGTATGTTACAGACAGATGTATTGGCAGAAGGCAGGAGTTCAGCCATGACTGATGGTGGTGGGAACATCAGGATACACCTAGGGAATAAAAATCAATGGACAGGAGTACTACTATAGATGTCAGACATGAGATATTCACTCAGTGCAACAAAAGTTAATGAATATGTAACTGCACTTATCATTGTGCTCTTTTTAAAAAATATTTATTTTTCAATTGTAGTTGGATACATACTTTATTTATTTATTTTTTTTTATGTGGTGCTGAGGATCAAACCCAGGGCCTCCCATGTGCTAGGTGAGTGCTCTACGGTTGAGCCACAACCTCAGCCCCCTTATCATTGTGCTCTTATCCATAAGATTTTATTCCTTCCCACAGACACATTATCTTGTATTCACTTTGGGTTATACTTTTACTTGTGTATTTTTAGTCTTGACTATACCTTGTTTCACAGTCCTTTTCCAATAGCCCTTTTCCACATTGGACAGAAGGTATGTAAAAAGTCTTTTCTCTAGGTTTATTATAAAAAAGAACAGATGTAATCCACAATGAAAATGATAGATTTGGTCACTTCTTACCTGTTGTTCTGACTGAAGTTGTGGAAACATTCACTGGCATTGCCCAGACAGAACACAGGTGTCATCAATAGTAGAGGTATCAGGCTGGGAGGAAAAAAGTTATCATCCCAATATCCAGCAGTTTCATGTCTTTCCTCTTTTTGAGAATATCCTCCCACCCCCAACTGTATCACCCCACTGATATCCACAAATATATACACACTTAATTTTTCAAGAAAATACCTTGAATACCTTAAGTATCCTTACTTTTCAGTTCCTGGGAAAGTACACCAGGAAAAGGATTTCATACTTAGGTTAATGAACCCTAACAGAGTATCCAGAGAATCTCTGGTATTATATGGTCAGATAAAATTCTAAGTGGGTCAAAAATGAAAGGAAAATCTACCAAGGAGCTTTGTGTGCAGCCTGTTTCACTTTTCATGGTGGCCAGGAATAACTTCATTCTCATTAGCCCCTTCCTGAGTGCTTTCCCAAAGTATACCATTAAATAGGCAGCTATTTATCCAGCCAAATATAGCAGACTCCCTGTAAGAGATAAAGATTTAGGAGCAAATGTTACAAAGGCTAAAATCAACTCTGATGTGACTGCCACTTTAGGTGAGATCCAGACCCTTTCTGGACTTTATAATTCTAGTAGTCTCACCCAATGTTTTTAAAGTGGATAAGATCTTGAAGACCTTCTTAAACAACTTATAAGAAAAGGAATGTGGAGATCCAAAACTCAAAGAAATTTGTACAAGATCACATTGAATTGATGGTAGAACTGGGGCTAAAACCCAACTCTGTAATAGAAAACTGATTTTCCAGTCTATGTGGGAAAACAGAACCAATGATCACATATTTATTGCTTCCTACTCAGTAAGAGTCTGTGATGACTTAGGACTGACAATGGAAATACAGGACACCAACTATTTCTTCGTACTTGGGCACTTGAATAATGAGAATACATTCCTTAATAAGAGGGAAAGAAAAAATCTTACCTTGAAAAAATGAAGGTGATTTGACCAACTCGGCAAGTAGAATCTGTCACCTGTGAAAAGAACACACGTAAAATTGTCTTATGACATTGCAAATCACATTACAATAAATACCAGATCATCATATACCACTCAATAGAATAAAAAGGATTCTAAGAGCCAATTTACTCTGTCAAGCAACATTTGCTATAGAATTCATGAAACAGATAATTCCTTAGCATTGTAAATGATAGAATTTCATCTGTATTATTATATTTAAAAAAATATAACAACAAGCTGGGCACAGTGGTGCACACCTATAGTCCCAGTGCCTTGGAAGGCTGAGGCAGGAGGATCACAAGTTCAAAGCCGGCTTTAGCAACTTAGCCAGACCCTGTCTCAAAATAAACAATGGGCTGTGGATGTGGCTCAGTGGTTGTAAGCCCGTGGGTTCAATCCCTAGTACCAAAAAAAAAAAAAAAAAAAAAAAAAAAGTCAAAAGAAAGGCTGCAGGAAGTAGCTTACGATTTGAGTACTCAGACAAATTTTCTTAGGAAGAAAGGCAAATATGAGATCACATAGTAACCCTCCATCATTTAATAATAGTTCCATTTTTTTCTATTTTAGACTCAGAAATGTGTGGGTGTTTTCAGAGCATTATGGGGTCAATGAAGCTCTATGTATAAGATGACCAGCAGCAAGTGTTAATATAATAGTGCAGAATCGTTAAGCTCTTTGGATATGAGACTTAGATTCTAAAAGACAGAACACTTAAAAACTCTACTTGTGCTGTGCATGTAACACAGTGGTAGAGTCTATGCTTAGCATACACAAGGCCAGCATTACAAAACAAACAAAAACTTAGATACTGTAAAACATCTAAAAGATGAATCCATCTAAAAGAGGAATCATTTCTACCTAATAGGACTTTAGGATGAAAGATTTTGAACACAACACCTTAAATAGGTAACAAAATAGAAAGCCTTTTTCTTTCTATTTTAAAGTATAAACATATCCTATTGTGGAATAGTCATTAACAATAAATAAGCATTAAGTGAGCAATTAATCATAATTAGAGAATGGTCACTGATCGTCCTTGAGAAGTTTGGATCAGGAATAGCAACGATTTTAAGTAGGACAGTTATTGTTGACTTGAGGGAAATATGTAAAATTAGTTTGTAGTGACTTCTACCAGCTTCCCTTCTCCTCTTTTTACTTTGTCAGGTGTTGAGAGCCACAGCCGAAGGGGCCCCAGCAAACTTCCAGCTGCCAGCTGATGATTGGCTCACAGCGGCCCCAGCAAACTTCTAGCTGCCAACTGATTGGCTCCTCTGCGGTGATGCTCATTGGGCTATTTCCCCACCCTTTCAGACCACGGAGCTGCTCATTGGGGGACTTTTTTTGGCTCTGCCCACACGACCTAGCCAATCAGCCTCAAGAGCAGGAGGAGTGGGGGAGGTTGAGAGGCTTGTGGGAAGCTGGTGGTGGCAGTTGGGCTCTGAAGGTTTTTCCTGAGGAGCTGTGTGGTTTGGTGTGTGTGTTCTAAAAATAAAGTTAGTTTCTTTTGACAAGTGGCTCCTGAATTGTGCCCAGCCACACTGTGGCAGGCAGGTGGCTACATGCTCTTTAATTATTACTCTTACCTGGTAATGAATATCTGATAAAAAGCTTACTGCTAGTAGTTTATGGCAGAAATCTTGCTAGGGTATTTTAAAAAAGAATTAAAAGGTTAAAAAAAGATCTTGGCAGTTCTTAGTATACAGCTATAATGGCAGAATAATAAGCACTGGGGTTAGTACTTTAGACTAGAGTTTGACTCCTTGAAACTAATGACATTGCTTGGGTTATAAAGAGTTGTATGTGCCTCTGTGTGCATAGAAAGCAGAACATCCTATATGAGAGCTAATCTTACATCTCTCCAATTTTTCCTTCAAAAATTAATTTCTTCCTCTAAGAAACATTCCCCCATGTTGTCTCCATCCTTGGCTTCTGGTCTCAGAGCATCTTCTTCAGGAAATTACTTTGTGGCTAAATAACTGCTCACAAATTCCAATCGGGGTCCCTTGGCTTTTGAGTGAATTAGTAAATTAATGAATGAAAATAAAAATATAAAATATTAATCCTGTAAGGCTGTTGAACTTTGTATGCATTCACCTACCTAAAGAGAAGAAAATGAATTGTTTCTTTGTAGTATCTTTTAGTTCTAGAATTCTAGAATTATGCAGACAGATATGTAAAAGGATAAATAGCCATGGGTCCTTACTAACTTGTAAGGAGCAAGGAAACCATATAAATTGAAGATACAGAAGAGTAATTATAAGTGTTGAATGTCCAGAGGTAAACATAAGAAAAAGGTCCCAGAATACTGTCCTGGGCTGTATAGCAGCAACTAGATGCATGTAGCTAGTTAAAATAAAATGAAGATTATATAAAATTTAAAACAAGTTCCTCACTCTCACTAGTCACATTTCAAGTGCTCAGTGGCCACATACGGCTAGTAATGACTGAACTGGACAGTGTATAAAATATTTTGATTATTACAAAAAGTTTTATTGAATAGCTCTTTTATTTACTGTAGTATCTTGTTCAGGATGCTGTTTAAGGGACCTCTTTATGTTAATTTTTCAATGATTTCCTTGTATCCTTTCGCTTTATAGCAACGAGAATGGAGAGAGGGGGAATGAGGGAGGAAGAAAGAGAGGAAGAGAGGGAGGGGTTTTAAAAACATTCTCTACCCTGTCCTTCTTCAACTGTGAGTATCTTGAACAAGGCTAGAAAAAAGAAAGATAAATATCTCTTCTTAAGAAGTGAATCAGCTCTCTTTCTGCTTCCAATTTGCCATGTCCTGAGTTGCTTCCCTCTGCCATGCCCTTCAGACATGATGTTCTACCTCATTTTGGGCCCCAGAGCTATGGAGTAGGAGGACCATGGACTGAATTGCTGAAACTGCTGTGGTCAAGAAAAATTGGAAAGTCACTGCTACAGGTTACCAGAACCTCACCTCACAAAAATGTTCCTGAGTGCTAGAACAAGGTAATATCTTTCTCATGATGCAAAATAATTCTTTGGAAATTGAATTATTTATCTATTTGGAAAAAATGTAGTTAATAAAAAAAGAGTTTCTTCTTAAAAATAAATTTCTTGAAGTCAGATGAAGATTTCATAGAACCTTAGCACTGCTTCATTTTATGATGAAAAATTGAGGCTCAATAAAAGCAGATGATTAGCTTAAGGTCATATAGAAGGTAAGTGGCTAGAGCACGACCTAAAAGATAAATCTCCTAATTTACCTCAAATACCCTTTCCTAAGATTCTATATGCAAACAAATATGTATATGCATATATAGCCAGGGGTCTTTCCCATTTATTCTTTAAAAATATTTATTGAATTTCATCATGTACCTAACAGGATATCACTTTCATTTGTTCTAGAAGTGACTGTAGGCTCTGGGAAAAGATGTTAGAAGGCTTTCCAGATACTTTTACTCTATCGTGCTCTTTTTTTTTTTTTTTAATTGTTTTTTAGTTGTTCATGGACCTTTATTTATTTTTATGTGGTGCTGACAATTGAACCCAATGCCTCACACATGCAAGGCAAGCACTCTACCACCCCAGCTTTCTATCATGTTCTTAATGAAAATTTCCCTTCAAAAAAAAAAAAAAGTAGCAGAACAAATACCATAGATATAAGATTAAAATATTTAATAAGATACATATAGTAAGATTAAAATACATAAGACTTTAAAAGAAATAAAAATTGAGCCACACATAGTGACATATGTCTGTAATCGTATGGGCACAGGAAACTGAGACAGGAGGATCGCAAGTTCAAGGCCAGCCTCAGCAACTTGGCAGGGCCCTAAGCAACTTAGTGAGACACTATCTCAAAATAAAGAGGGACAGGGGTGCTGAGGATGGCTCAGTGGTAAATTGCCCCGGTTTAAATCCCTAGTACCCCTGCCCCCAAAAAGAAATGATAACATCATAAAAATGTCATCTGCAGGATCACTTAGTGATATTGAAAGAATCAGAAATAAAAAACTCAACTTTTACTATACAAGGAAATATCATTAAGCAATAAAAAGGAATGAATTATTTATAAATGCACTATGTTAAGTGAAAGAAACCACAGAAACACAAGAGACCACATACGGTATTATTGAATTTATATGAAAGGTCCAGAAAAGGCAGGTCTAGAGAAACAGAAAGTAGATTAGTGATTATCTAGAGCAGAGAGTGACAAAGGGATTCATGGTTAAGGGCATGAAAGATTTAATTGGGATAAAGAAAATATTCTGAAATTGACTTAAAACATCACTTAATTGTATATTTAAAATCAATGAATTATGCGATATGTAAAATATGCACACACAGGAAGAGAATCCAGATGTACTGACTCAGCATTCTCTTCTCATCACTGTAATGCTGGAGAGTGCCCCAAACTCTGTGAATTAAAGAAGGAAAGACGACTGTTTTCTGGATTCATCTTGTGTTCGGACTACCACACATTTAATTTCTCAGCACTTCAACAAGTCAATATAATCACCCACACATACTGAAGAAATACAGCACTGCAGAACACTTACCCTCTCTAATGCCTGTAATCCCAAATCTCATGTTAATAGACAGCACTTCCTTGACTCTTCTCCAGGACCTTTTCCCCCCCTTTTCTTAAGCAGTGCTGGGGGTAGAACCCAAGGCCTTTCATATTCTAGGCAAGAGCTCTACCACTGAGTTACACTCAGTCTTCCAAGACCATTTTCTTTACTCTGGTAACAATGATGGATGGCATGAAGACAAGGATTTCCCATACTTAATCAAACAAGGCAGGAAAGGCAGTACTGTAAATAACATTTCTCATAATAAAACTTTCTGTGTATATGTATAAGGAAATGGAGAAGAAGTAATGTCAATAAAATGGACAATTGTGTGGAAACAAGTTTTACATTTATTAACCTCCACGAATTCAATTACCTAGTGCTTAGTGTAATACTGTTTATCAGAGAAATGTGGGTTTATTTTAGCATAGTATTCTTTTTTTTTAAATTTTTTTTTTAATATTTATTTTTTTTTAGTTTTCGGCGGACACAACAGCTTTGTTTGTATGTGGTGCTGAGGATCGAACCCAGGCCGCACGCATGCCAGAAGAGCGCGCTACCACTTGAGCCACATCCCCAGCCCAGCATAGTATTCTTAAATATAAGCTCTGACTCTGAATAAACTTACCAGTGGAGATGTGTTCTGTCCACTCTGGTTGTGTCTCATCCTTAGTTCTGTGCACAAATACCAGATGTAATTGACAGTGTAGAGAAATGAGGAAATGTAGAGTATCTAGGTTAAAAATTAAAACAATCCATCATAACTGTCCCTCTCTTCCTTAAATTTATTTCATTCTTTTCCAATATGAGAATCCTACCTGCAGGCTTATTAGTAACATACCATCTAGTATCCATATCATGTAAATCAATCACATCCAGGAATTCTACCCAGGCCTACTTAAAACATGCCCAACTTCTTTATTTTATCCTTTTGATTGTTCAGAAGAACCATAGGATTATCTACCTCTCCTCATCTAACTGTTCCACTTTCCTTTTTTTTTTCAGTATTAAATACTGAAACTAGGGGCCTTATGCATGATAGGCAAACACTCTGCCAATGAGTCACATCCCCAGCCCTATTTTGTATTTTATTTAGAGACAGGGTCTCACTGAATTGCGTAGCGCCTTGCCTTTGAACTCAGGATTCTCTTGTCTCAGCCTCCCAAGCTGCTGGGATTACAGGTGTGCACCACTGTGCCCATCTCTATTACATTTTTAATTGAAAAAGCAATAAGGATTTCCATTTTTAATAGTTGTAGCTATAAAAGTCCATTTTTCATTACTATAACAACATTTCTAAGGTGGGCTATTTTTGAAGAAAAGAGATTTATTCTGGCTCATAGTTCTGGAGGAAAAGGGTCTAGGGATCACATTTGGTGATGATCCTCATGGTGGCAGAATTCTGGGATGGCTTAGAGCAACATAGCAAGAGATAGGGAACACACATGTCTGCATCTGCGTCACTCTTCCTTTATTTATAAAGCCAATCCATTTCTTAAAGGCCTCATCTCTAAATATCATACTCAAAGCCATGTGCAGTGATACATGCCTGTAATCCCAGAAACATGGGAAGCTGAGGCAAGAGGATTCCAAGTTCAATTGCTTAGTAAAGATCTAAGCAATTTAGCAAGACCCTGTCTCAAAATAAAAAAGGAAAGGATTGGGGATGTGGCTCAGTATCTAGCCCATGGGTCCAATCCCCAGTACCCCTCGTACCCTAAAAAAAACAGAGTATGCTTCTATCCTCTTACTATCTAGACAATATTTTCACTACATTGTGAAGTACTAAAGCCACTGAACTGCTCATTTTAAAATGGTTAATTTTATGTTGTGTGAATTAAAACTAAAAACAATAATTTTTTAAATTTTATGCATCAAAGAATATTATCAAGAAAGTAAAAAGATCCTACTGCATGGGAGAAAGTACAATTTAAAAATCTTATATCTTGATAACAGTCTAGTATTCAGAATATATTTAAAAATATCATAAAACTCAACAACAAAAAAACCCAATTAAAAAATGGATCAAGAACTTGAATAAACTTACAGTCAAACAAGGTATTCAAATGGCCAACAAACACAGGGAAAGATGTTCAACACTCCTAATCATTAGGAAATACAAATCAAATTGAATAATAAACAAACAAATAAATAAATAGTGCTAGAGATATAAAGTGTCCCTGGGTTCAATCCTCCATACCAAAAACAAACAAACAAAAAGGAAATGAAATAAACATACACACAAGGAGATACAATGAGCACTGGAGAGGATGTGGAGAAGGAGGGATCTTAGTACATTGCTGGTGGGAATGTAAAATATTAGCTGAACTGCTGTTGGTCCTTCCTCAAATAGCTTAACATAGAATCACCATATGATCCAGTCATTCCATTTTGAAATGATGGAAAGGAACTGAAAAAAAAAGTTGGGCATGGTGGCACATGCCAGTAATCCCAGTAACTCAGGAGGATGAGACAGGAAGATCACAAATTTGAGGTCAGCCTCAGCAACATAGTAAAGCCCTAGTAACTTAGCAAGACTCGCTCTCAAAAATAAAAAGGGCTAGAGATATAGCTCAGTGGTAAAGCACCCCTGGATTAAATACCCAGTGCCCAAAATAAGATTTTTTTGGGAAAACAAACAGGTATACATATACATATGTTCATAGCAGCAATATGCACAATGACAAAAAGGTAGAAACAGATTAAATATCAATCAACGGATGGATCGGATGAATAAGTAAATAAACTGGTATACATATATGATGGAAATGTACATGTTAAAATGAAGATAAACTTTTAAAGCATTATACTAAGTCAAAGAATCCAGACACAAAAAGTCATGCCTATTCCAAGTCAATATTATTGCACTTATATATTAAATTTTCAGAAGAGGTAAATCCATAGGGACAAAAGGCAAATTTATAGTTGCCAGGGTTGGGGGGAGATGGGAGTAAGGAGCAACTGCAAATTGATAAGTCAGTCAGTCTCTCTCTCTCTGAGTCAGTCAGTGTGTCTGTCTCTGTCCCTCTCTCTCTACTAGGAATTGTACCTAGGGGCACTTTACCACTTAGCTACATCCTTAACCTTTATAAATTTTTATTCTGAAACAGGGTGTCAATAAATTGTCCAGGCTGGCCTTGAATTTACAATCTTCTTGACTTAGTCTTCTGAGTAGTTGGGATTATAGGTGCATACTACCAAGCCTTGCAGTATTTCCTTTCTGAATGATGAAATTGTTTTAGAATCAGACAGAAGTGGTAACTGCACAACAATTTAAGGGGGAGACCAATATTAACAGCACCCAATGCAAACAATATACACCTTTAAACCAAATAGATCCTATTAAGGTGTAATAAACAGAAATTATATGTTCTGTTATTGTCTACAATATAAACAGTAAGTTTGCTAAAGGGTTTACCATTTCTAATGATGGACAATAAAGGAAGAAGTAGTGTAAGATGCGATGTTTATGAGGGAAAAGGAGAGTAGAGATAAAAATTTATAGTAAGAGCAAAGGAGGAATTAATATAGGTTGGCTATTAGTATGAAAGAAGTGAGAAACAGAATCCAGGGAGACAGGTAAGAGAAAAATATATAGAGATTTTTTAAAAAGTAAAAATATATATAAAAGAAAGTCTTGGTGGAAAATTGAAGGATAGTTTCCATTGGCTTTCGAAAATTTTCTCAGCTTCCCTTCTCTGCCAATAGGTGGGGTTGTCTGAAGTTTGATGGTAGCTCCTGTCAAGTGGGTGCCCTTCAACAGATGAATGGATAAAGAAAATGTGGTACATATACACATGGAAAATTACTCAGCCTTAAAGAAAAATGAGCCAGGGATGGTGGCGCATACCTGTAATCCCAGTGGTTTGGGAGGCTGAGGCAGTATGATTATGAGTTCAAAGCCAGCCTCAGCAACTTAGTGAGGCCCTAAGCAACTCAGTGAGATCCTATCTTAAATAAAATACAAAATAGGGCTGGGGATGTGGTTCAGTGGTTGAATGAAATTATGGCATTTGCAGGTGAATGGATAGAACCAGGGAACATCATGCTAAGTGAAATATGCCAATCCCCCCAAAACTAAAGGCCAAATGTTTTCTCTGATCCATAGTGTGTGTGTGTGGTAGGGGGAGTAGGAAAGAATGAAGGAACTTTGGATTGTGCAGAGGGAATGAGGGGAGGAGTGAGGCTATGGGGATGGGAAGGACAGTAGAATGAGACAGAAAAAACAAATTAGTTTATGAGGATAATTTCAGTTTAATTCTCCAGTATGAACATATAAATATGAACAGAGATACATAAAATATAGATATTATATACTGTAAAACAAATAATATGCAATGCATCTAGAATTATATTTAACCTAAAATATATGCCATGTTAATATCTTGACCTCTTCCCAACTGTATTCAATATTTTAAAAAATGTCTGTTTTATATGAAACATTTTAGAGCATAGTCTCATGTATATAACAGCATGTGTTAGATGTAAACGTAACATATTCTATCTGTATGTTAATGTAATTTAAAATTATATGTAAACATAAATTTAAAATTTTAAAAAATTTAAATTTTTTAAAAATAAGAAAAATTTGGGCTGGGGATGTGGCTCAAGCGGTAGCGCACTCGCCTGGCATGTGTGCGGCCTGGGTTCGATCCTCAGCACCACATACCAACAAAGATGTTGTGTCTGCCGAAAACAAAAAAATAAAATAATAAAAAGTTCAAAAAAGAAAAATTTAACTTACATAACTACACCTCGGTCTTTAATAGTCCAGATTGAAAACCACAATGGGAACCTCATAAATCCAATAAAAACAATGAGTTTGATGTCTATTATCACAATGTTACCCTAACATGGGAAGAGGTTAAGGTTCTCAATGACACAAAATTGTATACTAATGAAACTTTCTCACTCCTATTAACAGCTCAGCCACTAATAAAAAATTCATAGGTATAGAACAACATACTGATTTCTTTCTCAATATTACCAATACAAACCATACCTCCAGAGGTTCCTGAAAACAATCTTATCCAACTCAGGTTTAGAAACATACTTTGCCAAAATATATGACACTAGCCAAAAGTTATAGTCTCTTCTGTGTGTAGATGAATACTTCTCAGGCATGAGACCCCAGGACAAACAAAATAGCTCCTGGCATCCAGCTATAGACCCTGGGGACCTATGTATATAAACTGTATACATCAAGGCTTGGATTCAAGGACCCACAACTGTAGTACATCTTAGAGGAATAAGATTTAGCTTTTCATTTGGTGACCAGGTATTCTCTGGCCACAAGGTAATTATGAGGTAATGATGCTATTGTGGCTGCCCTCCCAGATATCCTCTATTATAATATCTCTCAAATGGCTACCTCAGGAACAATCCCTAACCTGAGATCCTTCCTACAATCATCCCTCACTAGACAAACAGAACAACAAACTAAAAAAAAATCTTGTCAATATCTGATCTTAGCAAAATGGACTGGGGAGGACACAGCCATGACAATCCTATTTTTAAAAATGGGCTGGGGTTGTGGCTCAGCGGTAGAATGCTCACCTAGCATATGTGAGGCCCTGGGTTCGATCCTCAGAACCACGTACAAATAAATAGAATAAAGGTATTGTGTCCACCTACAACTGAAACACACACACACACACACACACACATATATATTTAATTCTAATAAGAGAGAATCACAGCCTCTGGGACAGAAGTCCCCTGTGTTTCTCCTTGGCTAACAAAGCAAAAACTTCATTTTTCCCTTTTTCTCAAAACTGTGTCCTCATCATTGGTTGGCACTGAGGACAAGGACTGAGTTTTCAGTAACAAACTGGCACCGCAGAATGGGATCTGAGAACAGTCCCTACTCCAGCTTTCTTGGTCAGACCTGGTTCTCCAAGCAATCCCACTTCCAAGTTCAGGATGCAAGGTGGCTGGTAAAATTGTTGAGTCAACTGCTGGAGACTTAGAAGAAGGCTAGGTTTGCCTTGAGTCTAATGGGAGGAGCTATTCTTGTGAATAAAGGGAGAGACTAAGGGCTGTCCCAGCAGCTGCCCCTTTTGCTTTGGGGAACTCCCGCCTTCTCTCCCTGAATGGTACTGGTTGCTCCATCTTGGTCTACTTTGAGAAAAAAGAAACTGAATGCACTAAAGTTCTGGAGACAATACTAGTCATGGCTGCACAATATGGATATTTAAAATCACTTTAAATGATTAAGATTAGATACACATAGAGGCCTTTACCTGTAATCCCAGCTACTCAGAAGGCTGAGCCAGGAAAATCGCAAGTTTAAGGCCACTCTGAACATTTAGTGAGATAGTGTTTCAAAATTTTTTTAAAAAGGAGTGAGGTGGGCTAGGGATGTAGCTCAGTGGTAAAGTGCTAGTTTAGCATGTACAAGGCCCTGGGTTCAATTCCTAGTAACTAACAACACATATATACTCATGCACAAAAGGTTAACATCACAAATATTATGTTTTATATATTTTAATCCCAATTTTTTAAAATTTATTTTTTATTTATAGTTGGACGCAATACCTTTATTTCACTTATTTATTTTTACATGGTGCTGAGGATCGAACCCAGGGCCATGTGCATGTGAGGCGAGCACTCTACCGCTGAGCCACAACCCCAGCCCATATTTTATCCCAATTTTTAAAAAAATTTTAAATGCCAAGCTGGTCATGGTGGCACACACCTGTAATCCCAGCAGCTCAGGAGGCTGAGACAGGAGGATCGCAAGTTCAAAGCCAGTAGCAACTTAGTGAGGTCCTAAGCAACTCAGTAAGAATATGTCTCTAAATAAAACACAAAAAAGGGCTGTGGATGTAGCTCGGTGGTTGAATGAACCTGGGTTCAATCCTTGGTACCAAAATAAATAAATAAAAACCAAATGAACAAAATAAGCTATTGTGTTTAAACCCTCTCTAGTTCATCCTTGCCTCTGATTACAAATAAGAAATCTAAGAGAAATATAAAAAACGTACTTGAGTTTCTAAAAAGTAAAGAAAAACAGGTGGTTTGTGGAAGTCAAACTTAAGTGAAGTACATAGAAGTGAATCTCCCAAATTTTTACACACCCCTCCACCCCATCGGACTGCCTCCCAGTGTAAACCTTAGTCAAGAAACCTAAAATTCTAATAAATACTCCCTTAGGATATGAGTCTTTTTTTTTTTTTTTTTTTTTTGGTACTAGGGATTTAACCCAGGAGTACTTTACCACTGAGCCATACCCCATCCTTTTTTTTTTTTCAGTTGTAGATGCACACAATATCTTTATTTATTTATCTTTATGTGGTGCGGAGGATTAAACCAGTGCCTCATGCTTGAGAGGCAAGTGCTCTACAACTCCAGAGCTACAACCCCAGCCCTCCCCAGCCTTTTTTTTTTTAAATGTTTTATTTTTAGATAGGATCTTGCCAAGTTTCTTAGGGGTTCAGTAAATTGCTGAGGTGGGTTCAAATCTGTGATCCTCCTGTCTCAGCCTCCAAGTCATTAGTATTACAGATGTGTACCACAGTATATGGCAGAAAGAGTTCCTTTTAGGCAGGAATGTATGGAAGGAATCCCACAAGTGAGAGAGTCAGAAAAGAGCATGCCTTAATTTTGTGTGTGAATCCCACACAAGTCTCAAACTAACTATCATGCATGTGTATGACAATACCAAATCAGCAAAGTCAAGGCTTACAGAATGAGATACAGTTAAAACACTTCCACATATGGTGATGTGAATTTATAGTCTTGATCTAATCAGATTGAATGCCTACAAAACAAAAACACCAGCAATCCCAGAAAGTTATAAAAGGACCCAGAGTATATGTCACACAGTACTCACAGTGTCTAAGATGCAATCCGAAATTACTTGATATACAATGAACAGGAAAGTGTGACCCATTATCATGGGGAAAGACAATCAACAGACTAGAAGTGACCACATATTGGAAATATCAGTAAGTATTTTTAAAAGCAGTTAATACTCCATGAGGTCAAGGAAAACACATTGTAAATAATTTTGAGGGGTGCTGAAAATAGGAATGTTTGCTATCTTGAAATATAGTGATGATTTCATGATGTTATGCACATATCAAAACTGATCAAATTGTACATCTTAAATACATATAATTTGGGGCTGGGGATGTGGCTCAAGCGGTAGCATGCTCGCCTGGCATGCGTGCAGCCCGGGTTCGATCCTCAGCACCACATACAAACAAAGATGTTGTGTCTGCCGAAAACTAAAAAATAAATATTAAAAAATTCTCTCTCTCTACCTCTCTCTTTCTCTCTCTCTCTCACACACACACACTCTCTCTTTAAAAAAAATACATATAATTTATTGTACATGTAGCTCAATACAGTTGTAAAAAAAAGGTAAGATTAGTCAAATCTACATCAAAAAAAGGTAGTGTTATTACTAATGGTCCAGGATTCTAATACAGGATTTTAAAATAATTTTTTAAAATTACAATATTATTTCTTGTTATGAAAAAATAATATGGCTTTAGTCTTAACTCATGAAATTATTAGCAGAATTGAGCAAAGTATGTCTCTAAGGCATTTTAAACTCATAAAATACAGGTAATATCAATGCATAAACTTCATACCATCAATTACATTTTATAGGTTCAGTGTCCCTTATCTGAAATACCTGGGGATGTTTAGGATTCTGAATTTTTTCAGATTTTAGAATATTTCCACATATATAAGAAGATATGTTATGGACACACACAAATCTAAACATGAAATTTGTTTGTTTCATATACACCTCTTATACAAGCTCAAAGGTAATTTTATACAAAAGTTTTACATGTTTGAATGTATCTGCATTTTTATTGCAAACTATTACATGAGGTGAGGTGTGAAATTTTCCACAGTTTCAGATTTTGGTGCATTTCAGATTTCTAAATTAGGGATGCTCAGCCTCCTACTAAATTGAAAGAAATCTCTCCTCTAATAACAAATTCTAGAAGAAATACCCAGCAATGGGTATACACTGCATTTTAACCTCTACTTTTTTCACATTGTGAGTCTCAGAAATTACAAAGGTCATATACTAAGGGTACTATGCAGGTTAATGCATCGATAAAATCCATAGAAGTGGCTGGCGGAAAAGCTCAACAGCACAGTGCTGGCCTAGCATGCATGAGGCCTGGGTTTGATCTCCAGCACTTAAAAAAAAAATCTTGAAAGTTACATATATGACCCATTATATGATTATCTGTAGTATTTTTGAAACCTGATGTGCATTATATTCCCATAATACAAAACCATGCAGTCATTTCAAAAGATGTTGTAGAAAAATATTTCATAACAGCTTAGGCCTATAATCCTAGCAACCTTCACTAAAGTGAAGAGATACATTATGCTCATGGGTTATAAGATGCAATATTATAAAAATGTCAGTTCTGGGGCTGGGGCTATGGCTCAGCAGTAGAGCACTTGCCTGGGTTTGATTCTTGGCATCATATATAAACTTGCAATCCTCCTGCCTTAGCTTCCCAAGTCATTGGGATTCCAGGCATGTGCCACCATGCCTAGCTTATTTTATATATTTAAAAATATACATTGAGGCCTGGGGTTGTGGCTCAGTGGTAGAGTGCTTGCCTAGCATATGTGAAGCACTGGGTTGCATATAAATAAGTAAATAAAATAAAGGTCCATCAACAATTAATAAAAATATTTAAACAAGTATATATATACACATATTCAGAAAATAATCATAAGGATATATATTTAAAATATTAAAGCATGATTATAGCTGGCTGATTTTTTAATTACCTAATCTACCCTTATGCTTCTAGGAATTGTCCAAAATTTCTATGATAAATAAATAGTTCTTTTTAGACAAAAAAGATAAAAAGGTATTGTTTCAAAGTGTAACAATAAACAAATTGGTCTCCATTCCCACGATGGATCACTCTTGCTTCCTTTGCTTCCTACCCTGAGTGTGCCTTGCTTTCAAGGTGCAGTCAGTCTAGTAGTGCTTACCTGTCCAAGTGCTTGCAAGTTATAGCAGATAATGTCCTTATTGGCTACTGAAGTTCCATAGAGAAGTGCCTCAGTAAGCCAGCAAATTCCCAGTAGCAGGTCAGAGAAGCTCAGACAAAAAAGTGGCCTTATCTGTCAAAAGTCATAAAATTCTCATTTCAAGTAATGTAATTATGAGAACAATTAATTATTTTTACATTTTATGCTTCAAGTAGAAAACTGGATGTTAATTTGCCAGGGCATCAGTCATTGGTTGATCAAAGGGAATGAATGGCAAGGAAGACTCTAAATAGGTGTGTATCTTTAATCACAGTATCTCAACCATACTGGACTTGAAGTACTCATGGATGGATTAGCACCGATCTTACTCCTAGGGACACTCCTTTCTCAGATATACAGAATTAAATAAATAATGGAAGATAAACAAATTCTGTGGTGAGACACACCACAAATGAACAACTGAAAAGCTCTAGATGTATAGCCAACATCTTCTAAAATTAGAAAATGAGATCATAGACTAAGTGTTTAGGTGTGCAGTTGAGGACTTTAAAGGAAATGAAAATATGTTCCCTTTCAATTTCTGACCATGTTGATGAAGTTTGTCCCCTTACTTTTTTGTATCCTTTTCCTTTTAGCCTACCCATTCCCATTTATTTTAAAGTAATTTTGATTCATCTATGGGAAAAATTATAAAATATTTATTGAGAGACTAAAGAAAAAACTAAAGTGAAGTTTTTGCATCTTATAACTCATCATGCTCATGAGTTATAAGATGCAATATTGTAAAAATGTCAGTTCTGGGGCTGGGGCTATGGCTCAGCAGTAAAGCACTTGCCTGGCATGTGGGAGGCACTGGGTTCCATTCTTGGCACCATATATGAATAAATAAAATAAAGATCTATCAACAACTAATAAAAATATTTTTTAAAAAATGACAGGGCATCAGTATTTTAAAAAAATGTGAGTTCTCCCTAAATTGATCTATGGATTAAATGCAATCACAATTAAATCTAAACTGATTTTGCTGTGGAACTTCACAAGCCAACTTAAATCTGATGCAAAAATATGAAATATCAAGATAACCAAGAAACTCTCAAAGAAAAAGGAGAAGTAAAACTTACTCCCATCACAACTTAAGATTTCATATATAACTAGAGTGCAGATACTGTGTATTAGCATAGGAATGGAAAAATTGACAAATAAGAAGAGAAATGTCAGCTCAAAACAAACCCAAGTATATATACATATGAATCTTAGATATATTATAAAAGTGGCTTTTTTATTTTTAAAAATATCTATTTTTTAGTTGTAGTTGAACACAATTTCTTTTTTTATTTATCTTTATGTGGTGCTGAGGATCGAACCCCATGGCCTTGCACATGCTAGGTGAGTGCTCTACTGCTGAGCCACAACCCCAGCCCCAAAAAAGTGGCTTTTTCAATCAGTGGAGAAAAGAGTAGTCTTTTTAAAACATGATGCTAGAACAATTAGGTATCCACAAGGGAAGTAAATGGTATTGGACCCCTATTTTTTTTTTTTTTTTGGTACCAGGGATTGAACTCAGGGGCACTCAAGCACTGAGCCACATCCCCAGCCCTATTTTGTATTTTATTTAAAGACAGGATCTCACTGAGTTGTTTAGCGCCTCGCTTTTGCTGAGGCTGGCTTTGAACTGGCGATCCTCCTGCCTTACCCTCCCCAGCAGGCAGGATGTGCCACCATGCCCTGCTTGGACCCCTACTTTATACCTCCCCTACTATACTCAAAAAATCAGTTTCAGATAGTACAAAGACCTATATGTGAAAGGCAAAAAAAAAGGACGAAGTTATTTTTTAAATAATATACAAGAATGCATTCAACCTCTGATTAGTGAAGTTTTCCTAAACAAAACACAAAAGGCTCTAAAAGAGAATTTAAAAATTCAGGAGGAGGGCCTGGTTTGTCAGCTCAAGGGCCTGCAATTGACTGCTTGGACGGCACAGTGTTTCTATGGTAGAATGCTTGCCTCGCACGTGTGTGAGGCACTGGGGGATCCTCAGCACCACATAAAAATAAATAAACAAAATAAAGGTATTGTATCCACCTACAACTAAAAAAAATTAAAAAAATAAAGGTATTGTGTCCACCCACTATATATATATATAAAAACTCAGGTGAATCCCAGAGGAAGATGGCAGAAGCAAGGTAGGCAACAGTCCTGATCTCCTCAAAACACAGAAAGGAGGCAGTGGAGGAAAGGCAGAATTGAGAGATGGGTGACAAAATAAATGCTCTAAGACTCAATATTGGAGACCTGGAGAGACTGGAAGATAGGGTACCAGAGCAGAAAACAAACAGTGCCCTAACCACCTCCCAACCCTAAAATGGTGGATGAGAAGGAGGATAGGGGCATCAGAGAGAGAAAAGAGGGGAAGAGTCACTCTCTTAAGCTTACCCATTTAAAAATGGTTGAAAAGACACACAAAACTAAAAGCACAACTGTATCAGAAGGCTCCTTAAAACAGCACAAACATGCACGCCTATAATCCCAGGAGCTCAGGAGGCTAAGGCAGGAGTATCCCAAGTTCAAATCCACCCTCAGCAAAACTGAGGCACTAAGCAACTCAGTGAAACCCTGTCTTTAAATAAAATACAAAATAGGGCTGGGGATGTAGTTCACTGGCCAAATGAATGCCCCTGAATTCAGGCCCTGGTATTCTCGCTCCACCCCCCCACCCCCCCCACCCCCCTACACACAAAAAAACCAGCACAAACAGCTTAAAACCAAATTGTGAAAAGAAAGCTGGGGGTCTGTAGCCATCCTGTGGAGCCATTAGCCAACTAGTCACTCTCTTAAATTAGCACACTATTTTCTCATGCCTGACAGCTTCAAACTAAACCAGAGGGAAGTCCCCTGCAGTAGGACCTTTTAAATACCTGGCCAACAAGAACTTCTAGAAGAAACACTACTAACTCTAAATTGCTGAAATCGCCCTCCCCATTCCTCCAATGCAAACAAGGGGAACAGAGCAGGCTGGAGGGGACCTGGCTCAAGGAAGTGTGCATCTAGCCCTGCTCAGTCTCTGTGACCCAGGCAAGGGCAAAAAGCTCTGCAGAGCCTCCTGTTGCTTGCTCAACTCAGATAGAGGCAACAAAGCTTTGGCCCCTAACAAAGGAAGGCAGATTCACCAGGCTCCCAACCACTGACACTGGGGGAAGGCACCATAGGAAGTCCAAGGATAGTCCCCAGGATCTGGATTGCAGGGCCAGGATCACAGGGCCTACCAGAAGGACAGTTGTCTGAATATACAGTGGCACAGAGACCCAACAGAAAGAGGCTGATATCAGCTTTAACAGGTACACCGCCTGAACTGTGATCATAACTGGCAAGTGACCAGAATTATTTGAATATTCAAGGATCTTTGCATTGTACTAAGCAAGCAGAGGGAATCAACACACAACATTCACAACCTGGGTAGTAGAAACTAGAGTCCAGGTGAACCACTGAAGACTCTAAGTTATGGTATTTCAGAGAGCAGCATTGGCTGGGGGAATACTTCTGCACCACAGATCATGGGCGGAAGATCCACAGCCAGAGTTCCTGCACCCACATACAGGAACCAAGACCTTCACTACCATGAAAACCATCCAATAGAGGGGAATGGGTGCACAGTGACATACAGCAACCACAGGGACAAGCCAGAGCCTACATCCTGAAATACAAACACAGTAGAAACACTGTGCCATCCAAGCAGTCAGCTGAAGGCCCTTGAGCTGACAAATCAGAAACTGATGGAAGGACATTCATAACAAGTAGGAAATTGGTCCCCATCCCCCTGCAACTCAGGAGAGAATCACAGCCAAAAACTGATGGACATCTTTTAAATGTCCAACCACCAATGAAATCCAAATTCAACAAGAATTTTCTTCACCTAGATATTATATACTATAAACAACTCTAAAGTCAACTTTGATCATATAAATAATTCCTTAATTTGAATAATTGTTAACCCAATAGCCAATATTGTACCTACAACCCATTTGAATGTATTTAATCTAGTGGTTTAAAGCATTAATTGGAATCAATCTTCCTATCTTTGTTTTCCCAGCACTAGTTTATACCTGCTTCTCTACAACCTCAATTAATATCCATCCCTCTCTCTCTCTCCTTTCTATCTTGGTTTAAATTACCCTTTTACAGCTTCTTCTTCTCCTTTTTCCGATTCTATTTGCCCAATCTTATTTCTCCCTCCTTTGAGCCTTCACTTAAAGGTATAATAAGTTACTAAATTTAATAACTAATTTTTTGACCTGTTCCAGAACTTTATTATAGGTTAAATGAATACCAGAAATAGCAGAGATCAACTGCAACAAGTTTTTGTTCCTATAAGGCTAAACAGAATGAAGTCTGGCTCAGAAGTGACTATAGTAAATAGGGCTCGGGCTGATATTGGGATCAGCAGAGGTCACATGTTGAATTAAAATTTCATTATGTGGATTTTCACATGACACAGAGCTCTTAAGAAAAAGAGGCTCACAAAGTAGTCCTTCACTTAAAAGAAGTCAAAACCATACTAATAGGTAGACATATAAACAGTAAGATAAAACAAGAGAATAAACCATCCCAAACAACCCAAAATGTTTCAACAGAATTCACTGACACTACAGTGGAGGAAATTTCAGAGAAGGAATTTAGAAAGTTCATAATTAAACAGTTCTATGAGGTAAAAGACAATGTAAGGAGTGAAATCAGAGAGAAAATACAGAAAGTGAAAGATTACTTCAATAAAGATATAGAGATTCTGAAAAAGAATCAAACAGAAATCCTTGAAATGAAGGAATCAATAAACCAAATTAAAAATTCAATGGATGGGCTGGGGTTGTGGCTCAGCAGTACAGCATTTGCCTAGTGCATCCGAGGCCATGGGTTCTATCCTCAGCACCACATACAAATAAATAAAATGAAAATACTGTGTCCAACTACAACTAAAAAATAAATATTAAAAAAAATTCAATGGAAATCATCACTAATAGACTAGATTTGTTTGAAGACAGATTTTCAGGCCTCCAAGACAAAGTATACAATCTTGAAAATAAAACTGACCACAGAGAAAAGATGTTAAGAGACCATGAACATAATATTCAAGAAATAT